TGCACCTTGACCTTGCGCAGCGCCGACTTGGAGGGGCGGGATGATCCTCGCTCGAAGCGGCAACGCCGACGGTGCGCTCGAGGGTTGCATCGCTGAGTCCGGTGCCGAAGGCGTGTCTCCAGAAGCGGCAGCTACGGGCGGCGCCGTCGTCACGGGCGGCGCCGTCGTCACAGCACTGCAAACGGGTAGCGTGCGGGCCTTCTTCTTTGGCGGTGTGCCATGGATGCAAGTCAAAATGGCTAAAATCAGCCAATCAGAGGCGCGTTTTTTCAGGTTCCGACTTTCTCCCATCAAAAATACATGAAGTTGCTTTGACTTGAAATTTGTATGATATTTAAAATTGTTGGAAGGGAGAAAGTCGGATCCTGAATCCGCCCTCAATTGTAGATGACGTATGCGATTCCGACTTTTTACAGAGAATGCTTGCTCATCATGTTGCAGGGCCAGTCACTGCTCTAAAGCAAAATACAGGAAAACAAAGTTGAAACCACTGTTTTGGGCTTCAAGACAGTGTTCGAACCTGGTCTCTGTGCGAAACACTGCATGCCGACGCAACGCTCGCTACCAAAGGCTACGAGCATCAATGCACTGCTTGACGATGATATACACGTTTAGTACAGTGCTGGAACGCAAGCTTGTACGAGTGCTAGTACACTGGATCGGTTCTCATACGACAGCGATTCAACGGCGACGAGGGTATTTGTTTTCGATGTGAGAAGTCGCACGTGGTGACAGGAGAGGAGACAGGACGACACGGAAATACGCTGGCGGGCGAGTTGTAATCTCTTGATGGCTTCAGCACAAACCACTGCATAGTGTAAACAAGCTCTCGGAGTGTTCAGTGAGGACATCAGCCAAGCTCCGCGGATGACACGGTTCGCACACAGCCATTGCTCGCTCCACGTCCTTGTACTGTGTGCAGCTTGTACAGTGTGCTGCTGGGGGTACAGTCCATCTCGACATTGCCCTTCGAGCTTGGCACACTGCTAGGAATCTGTCCGGTACTTTTAATACTAAAAGTGCTCGACGTTGGTTGAACGGCGGCCGTTCAACCAACGTCGAGCTCCATGCACTCTGCAAGGGGGATCTGTCAGCTACGTACTGGTAAATGTATTACTGTACTCGAGCTACTAGTACGACCAGTCGTTCCTCATTGACCGAGCTTTCACGTGTGCATACTAGGTAGCATACCGGTATTGACGTTATGGAGAGCGGCAAGATCTTCTTTTTTAGTGCAGTGAACAAGATATGCACATGATATGTCACCTTATGGGTGTGTCGCGTGCGGGACGGTCCACGGCAACAAGAGCTGGCAACAAGGAAACTGAGCCGAACCGACCGCACGCCTGTCGAGACTGCGACACAAGACGCAAATCCTGCGTCCGGAAGCAGCACAAGCCTCTACCGCAGCGCGCTTCGTCCCAGCGACATAATCGCGGGGTCCGATGACCGGGTCCTTCTGGGTTCTACCAATCTGTCTGTGCGAGCTGTCTGTGCGGGATTACTCTTACGTAGTTTCCACCCACCCCTCGCTCCGTGAGATGTCCTTGTAACAGAAGAGTTTGGGTTTTGGTTCTGTGATAGCTTGTTATCGACTTGGTTTCAGTATGCCAAGTGGCTACTCGGCCGTTACGTTGCACTGTTTGACGGTTTCGATTACCGTACCAAAGCAAAGGTGGCAACGACCAGCTCGTTCCATGCGAGGGCCTTCGTGCATGCAGGAGCTCATCTCACCGCACTCTCTCTGCGCAGTTCCTCTGTGCATCTGCGCATGCATCAAAAGTGTCGTCGGATGACTGTTCCGTGGCGTCCGTCGGGCACATCCTCACAACGTTTGTAAGGTTGCGTATGCGGATATCGATACAGCATATGGCACGTCTCGTGTCGAGCTGCGGTCAACGTCGCACTACTACATGTAGACGCCTGTGCCGTGAAGCACCGACTCTGCCTTGCAGCCGCCTGGTCGGAACACGAATCACATCAGATCGTATAGCACATCACAGCCCGTCACAGTGCCTCCTCCAGCGCAATGTAAACAAGCGACGCTTCCCGCGCCCCATCGATGGCACGATTCTCTTACAGTTGTTCTGTGTGGGACACGCGAGTGGGTTGATTGCTGCGACGTCGAGGTAGCATTCGTGGTTTCGCCACCGAACTAGCAGAACGACTAGCATCATGGGCACCCCGATCATGGAGCAGAGGAGCGCCAAGCTCATCATCTACGACGACGTGGACGAAGACATCCCATACCACATCCTCGACAACATCCAGGAGAACCGCCGGTTTATCTGGTGGGCGCTCCTCTTCCTCAACGGCTCGTGCCTTTGGGCGTACTACTCGTGCTTGTCCGCGCAGACGTACTACTCGGCACGCTTCATCAACTCAACGTTCCAGTTCGAGTATTTAACGACGCCCGTCACGACGTGGCCCATGTTTGCAGGCACCTTCGTCCAAGTCATTTTTGGCCTCGACAAGAAGCTCGGTCTCTGGAACCGCGTCCTCATCGGCTACTCGCTCTTCATGCTCTGCGCCCTCGCGGTCATTCTCCAAGACGTCTTTGAAGCCGACCCGCAAACTGGCGGAACGATCGTCCTCGTCGCCTTTGGCGTCGTCGGCTTTACCAACTCGCTCACCGAGGCGGCTTTCTACGCGCTCTCGGCCCTCTTTCCCGAGGCAGCATTCACGAACGCGATTCAATTGGGCAACGGTGCGTCCGGCATCATCAACATTACGTTCAACACGCTCATCCAGCTCTGCGTCGGCGGCATCAAGCCCGCGCCGCAAGACACGGCCAACATCCAGAAGATCTCGTTCTACATCTTCTTCAGCGTCTTCATCGTCGTGTGCTTCCTCGCGGTCTTCACCTTCCACAAGCTGCTGCGAATTCCAAGCGTCCACTACCTCATGGAACGCAACGACCTCGAGACCGCCAAGCGCCACGCCAGCCGGGAGACGCTCTTGGAGATGTGGGGCCGTCTCGGCCGAATCACGCGCGTCATCATGCTGCCGCTCGCAAGTCAGTTTATCATTTACGTGTGCTCGCTCACGGCCTTCCCCGGCATTGGCATTTCGTCCGGCAACCAGCTCGCAGCGCTGCATGGCGCGTCGTGGGCATCCTGGTACGTCAACGGCGTCCTCCTCTGCTACAACTACGGTGACTTTTTCGGCCGTGTCCTCTCGCCCAAGCTGTACCCGTACTTTTCGCTCGAGTCGTGCTTTACGTGGACGCTCCTCCGCTGGGTACTCTTCGTCGCGCTGCTCATGGGCCTCCCGGGCAACGGCGCCAACCCCCTCTATTGCATGGGCGATGCCTTCGCGCTCAACGTCTTTTGGCAGCTCTTTATCAACTTTATGCTCGGGCTCTCGACCGGTGTCTTGAGTACGATCACATTCGGTCTTGGCCCGCGCCTCGTGCCCCAAGACGACCGCGAGTCCGCCGGTGCCATCATGTGTCTCGGTCTCTTCCTCGGTATCTCGACCGGAGCCACGATTGGCTGGCGCTTTGGCCAAAACCACTGGCTCGGCGCGTAACCTTGGATGTAGATTGATTGATAATATTTGTTCATGCGCTAATACCCTCCCACAAACGACTATCTATTTAGCTTCTTCTCTGTGTTGTTGTGCGTCAGAGCTGTGCCATTCATTACCCTAACCCTGGATGTCCGCACATTGCACTTTTGGCAGAAAGTGCACTCTCGTATCCGGTCGATCTACGGATACGGTTGCTAGGGCGGCCACACATCCGCATCACGCAGCAGCAGCATGCCACTGAAGGGAATCCCATCGATCTTGCCGCCGACGCTGCTGCACACATTGGCCTCGATGGGCCACGGCGACGAGCTCCTCATCGCCGACGCCAACTTTCCCGCGTCGTCCCAAGGCCGCGACGTCATCCACATGCAGGGCTCATCGGCCACGGATGTGCTCGCCGCCGTCCTCTCGCTCCTCCCGCTCGACTCGTTTGCGCAGTACCAAGCGACAGTCATGAAGCAAGTCACGGCGCCGGACGAGGATGCGCCGATCGTTCACGAGTTTGCGTCGCTCTTGACGGCTGCGTACCGAGCCGACGGCGCGCGCGCCGCTGCCCACGTCGAGCGCGTCGATCGCTTCGCCTTTTACGAACGCGCCAAGGCGACGTACGCGATCATCGCGACGGGCGAGGTGCGGCTGTATGGCAACATCATTGTCAAGAAGGGCGTCATCGACGGTGACGGCAAGGTCGTCATCCTTTCCAACTAAACTCGAGCAAAAACAGACCAGACTACATGCATGATGTAGTATCATCACACACGACAGTCGCTTTACTTGCAGCCTTCGCCGCCAGCAAGGACGAGGCATGCCGTCGACGGAAACACCGAGAGGAGGTTCGTGACGATGCCAAAGAGAAGGCAGAGCGCCGCCATCGAGAGCGTCACGTTGGCCATGCCGCGGTGCGTGCCGCCGTGCGCGCGGAGGTGCTGCGCGGCCGCCTTCTGGCTCGGCAAAAGCAATAGCGTGCCGAGACTGAGCAGCTTCATGGCGTACATGATACCAAACGTGCATGCTACGCGGTCACGGACCGCTGGCGTGTCCGAGATGACTTGGTCTTGAAAGACGTTGAAGGGGGCGTCGACGACCTTGGAGAGCGCGACGGCAAAGGGCTCGGCGAGGTTGCCGACCGTCGTGAGGAGGCCATAGGTCGCGCCTTCGTGGCCCGCATCCGCGACCTCCACAATGACAAAGCTTGTGACGATGGACCGGACGCCGTCGGGGAGGTGGGCGAGGGCCGGTCCGCCGAGGAAGAACCATTCGCTCCGAATGATGCCGTAAATGGTGAGGTAGCTCACGCTGCCATCGATGAGCACAACAAAAGTGACGTGACCAAGATGAGCAGTCGCCAGTCGTGCTGCAGAAAGTAGAGCTTCGTGAGCAGCATGCCGGCCGCGAGAAGCCAACACGAGAGAATGCAAAAGAGCGCTTCGTTGATCGGCCGGACTTTGGCCCACTCGGACTGCACGACCGCGCTCGGTGTCGCTTCAAAGCTAAAGAAGAACGTGTTGAGAAACTGAAAGATCATGATTTGCCACAGCGCGCGCTGGTGGCAGAGCAGATAGAGCTGGTGGCACTTGGTGGCCAGCGACGGCATGCCCACCGGAATCGTATCGGGGACGCAGCCTGCGAGCGGAAGCACGGCCAGCACCACCAGCGCATAGCCACCCATGAGTGCGTTGAACGAAAGGCTCCAGTCAAAGTTGCCGCCGTACGCTGCTCCGTTGAGCGTAAGGCCGACGACACCGCTCGCAACGCTGGCGCAGAGCCACCTACGCGCCCATGTGACTACTAGTAGTAGGCGACATCTTAATCGTACTTGGTGATGTACGACAGCGTTTGCGTGTGGCCGCGGACGTCCATGCGCTCGGCGCGCGCGAGCTCGACCATGACAGCGTCGCACGCCACGTCCACCATGACGTACCCGACGGTGGCGCCCATGAGGAGAAGGAGGTACGTGACGCCGTCGAAGGGTGCGTCCGGGTTCTGGATCCGGCGAAGCGACGCGTTGGCGACGGTGCGGATCTGACCGTCGGCGTAGTACGGCGTCTCGGGTGGCAGGAGCGCCATCGTCAGAAGAAAGCCAAAGCAGAGAAGCCAGCCAAGGTAGATGTACGGGCGGCGCCGGTAGCCGCAAATCGGCGCCGAGTCGCTAAGGATACCGACGACGATCTTGAAGCTCCACGCAATGCCAATGAGCGTCTTGGCCGCGCTCACTTGGTACCCGTCCATGTTGAGGTACATGCGAAAGTACGGGTAAATACAACGCGGAAACGTGCCCATGAGCAGCCCGACGACCGCGTAGTTGGCGACGAGCCCAACGTGGCGCCAATGCAAGAGGATCGGGACACCGTCGGCGTACGCATCGCCTTCGTCGTTGGGCTTGGCGAGGAGCCCTTCGTGGTCCCCTAACATCGATTGCAGCGTCGGTGGAGCGACGACCAAGCAGTAAATGTTCCGTGGCGTTTCAAGGATGAACCTTCCTCGAGCAATGGACGTGGCTCGTCGAGCGATGATTCACCTGACGAGATGACGCGATGCGCATGCCCAGGAAAGACTTCTATACCCTGCCTGCCTACTCCTATGGGTAGCTCGACCATCCTCTCGCCGCCATCTCTGGTGTCGAGACGTTGCCGGCGTGGCAGTGCAGCGACGCGAGATCCTCCAGCAGCTTCAAACATGCACGAAAGAGAGATGGATACATAGTCAAAAGCAGCGCAAACAGTCTTATGAATCTTACTTACTGGCCCGGCGGCGGACGCATCATCGGGGGCGGACCCGGCGGGCGCATACCCGGCGGCATCATGCCAGGCGGGGGCACCATGCCCGGCGGGGGCACCATGCCAGGGGGAAGCATGCCCGGGGGCATCATAGGCGGGCGGACGCCCGGCGGCGGCCCACGGGGGAGGCCACCAGGCATGCCCATGGGAGCGCCACGGCCGTACGCTTGCGGCTGGGCATGGGCAGCGACTAGAAGGAGAACATTGCGTGAGTGCCTCGTCCATGATCAAGAGCGCAGCGGGCGTGAGCTTATGGTCGATATCGGCCCGACGCGCAAGATGCACATGTGCAGCATACCTTGGCCGGGTTGCAGCATACCTTGGCCGGGTTGCAGCATACCGCCGGGACCACCGATGCCACGCATGGGCGCAGCGAGGCCCATGGGCACACCAAGAGGAGCGGCAGGAAGGCCACGGCCCGCAGCGCG